TATAAGAGACAGATATAGTGTAAATAATACTGGTATTTAAATGAAGTTGCTGCTTAGAACTTGAACACAAATAATGTATAAATTATTAAACCAAATAGGCAATAATACAGTGCTTACATATATTATAGGCACATGATATTATAAAATAGTATAAAATATAGTTCAACAACGAAGGTTCCTTATTACAATTGTATTATAGTTGTAGCCTGTTATTAGGAATCTTAATCTTCTTTATTTACCAATCAGTGTATTTCGAACTGAAATGATTTGGGAGACTTCAATATAATATAAGTAAGAATAAAACTTTTGAGATTTCATGTCGTTTTAAAATTAAAGTTTAAAGTTTAAAATTAAAAGTAAAGTTGGTAATTCAGTGGCGTAACGCCCTATGCTTTTTGAGGCCCAGGCCAGTGTGTCCTCTTACTACAACTTAGCAACTGAACAACTCCACAACACAATAATTGTACTATAATTAAAAAAAAAACTCACATAGACCAAAATCCAAAAAACACGCTCTTCCCCAGATTTATTAAAAGGGTCCCTCTTACTACGACCCAGCATTTTACTATGGAGCTTTGACCAATTATGTAAAGCCTGTGTGATTTCTGGGGAAATGCCCTGTTACAAGTATAAATGAGCCCCGGATAAGTCATGGAGCCCCCCCTCCCCACCCAACCCCTCTTACTAGCAGTCTAATACGACGCTTTTGGACAAAAAGGTGCATTTTCTTTTAGTTTGCAAAAATGTGTGGGCCCTGGCCGGCTGGCTTCACCCCCATCCACCCTAGAATCCGCCTCTACTTTAAAACATGGCAATGATAAAGAATTAGGTAAAAGTTACCTATTTATGTTAGGCTTATTATTGAATATAATAATGTAAAGACATTATAGTGTTAGTCACTGTTGCATCAATAATATTTGAACTTCTCAGGTAACTTCTCAGGTAACTTCTCAGGAAATTCCCATTCTTCATGTGACCAGCAATTTGTTTTCAAACCCGGTCACTCTATTGATACATGTATATTTGTTTTTTAACAGATCGTTGATTTTTTTTTATATTAGAAAATAGTACTACGGTGTACACTTGCGTTTTAGAAACCAGCAAGGCGTTTGATCGTGTTACCCTTTTTAAAAAGTTGATTGATGTGGTTACCCAAATGCAAGTGGTGAAAATGTTAAGGCATTGGTATCTAATTCGAGCTGTTATAGTAAAGTGGAAAAACGCAGTGTTCACATGTTTCCACGTGAACAACGAAGTCCGTCAGGGCGGAATCATGTCACTCATTCTTAACTTTTATATTGATGATATTTAAATGTATGCCTCAATAGTTCTAAGGCTGGTTAAGTTGCGAGGTTAAAGGCAATAAACTAAACTGACTGTCTTAAGCCGGACACTCACTGCGTTGTACTACGGTCGTACGACCGTTGCACGACGAATCTAACTCCACTCACTGTCGTCTGCTGATTGTCGGTAGCAGTCTGAACGGATCGTCAATAAAAACGATCCGTTGAGCGCGCGTTGTCGCGTTCGTTCTTCATAGAATCGCATCGGCCGTCGACCGTCGTGCGCAGTGAATGCGCGCTCGGCTTAACGCTGATGGCATGGTGCTTATTATTCCTTCTTGTACTGGTTTACAGCATCTTGTTGGTATTATTTCTAAGCGTTTTGCTTAAGATCATTACATCATTTACAAAATTAAGAAATCAATATGTATGCTCTTTTGTCCAACAATGCGTAAATTACATGGTCCACCAATCACACGTCTTAATTCATCTTTACTTTTTGTTTGTGTTAATATGTACTGTTTCTCGATTTGGGCCATTTTTTTCCCTTGCTTGTTTTAACTTGTACACGTGTATGCTAAAATAATGCATTGCGGTAGGTTCTAAAACAGCCTAGACACTGCAGTGCTACTTTGATGTTTGATACTCCACACCGTCCACTTACGAGTACTTGAGGAAATATGTATATTGTTTTAAGTGTATAATTCATTTGACAGTAATTTTTATTGTCGTGAGAGAGTAGACAATAACTGGATTTGCGTTAGGAGAATCAAGTATAGGTATAATTGTGTGCACTACCTTACGTGGAAATGTACTGAATACTCAGTACGTATAAAAACAATTTCGAAAAAAAGAACGCAAGTTATTCTCGGGTCTTTCTCGGGTCACTACTAAAATAGCAGTCATTAAGATGCCATAGATGTTCTATGTAAGAGTTTGTTTATCAAAATTTGAATACTTTTCTAATGGGTTAAACCTGAGCCCATTGGTAACAATAATAGTACACAGTATTACTTGTAAGTAAGAGGTCATTGGCATAACAAAACATTAAAAAAAATATATGTTGATTTTGCAATGGTGATGCCACATTCAAAAGCACTCAGTTAAGTATATACTATGTTAACTTAGTCCCTCGGTAAAAAAAAAAATAAAAAAATAAAAGAATGAAAAAAAATCACAGAATTCAAGATAATAACTTAAAATACCTTGTAAATAAAAGTGTTTTTGTTAGCCCTAGAACAAACGGTGTGTGTGGGTGTGGGGGTGTGTGTGTGTAACTCTTGACCATCTTTGGAAAGGAATAAAAAGGAGAACCGACCTACTAATTAATGCCAAATAGTTAATATAACTGCAACAAGCATTACAAATTGATACAGAACTGCTGACGTTTGAAGAGCATCATCGGAACAATTGTTATGAAATATGTTTTTTCTCATAAATTTTCGTCATAATTATGGTGCAACCGGTATGGTGATCCGACTAATTGCGAACCCTTTTAGTTTCTTCTGGTCTACCTATTGAAATAAATATAATATAAATTTATTGCAATAATTTGAAAATTGTATTTAATGAAGTATCGAAAAACTTATGAACTAAAAATCACGACACTAATACATGGTATACATGCCCGAAATTTAACTTGCCCTAGCCAATTTAGGCGCTATGAAACCATGTTTCAACCGAGTTTACTACCATCATTAGAGTGGAGATTAAACGCAGGCAATCGTATTTATATAAGGATAAAACAACGATAATAAACTTACATATAGCTTCATGTTCTTTATAATTATTAAAGGCCAAAATCATTGACAGTGCTTAGTAAATTAGGCAAACTATTATAATCTATTGCAATTATGCAATTGTTTTACGTTTAAAGGGGCTGGACTTGATTAGTGTTTACACTATTTTCTAGCTCCTTCCTATATTGGTTTATGTAGTTTTTTTGAATTTTAGATTACTTATACTTATTGGAAAATAAAGTTGAAGTTGATGTTGAAGTAGAATCATAAACGTTTTCGCATGCGCAGATGACTTTTAGTGACGTAATTACTTCTACGTCCTACCTTTCGTCGTGCACTTGAAAGCTACCTAGTGTAAAAACATACGCAAACACGTGCGTTTGTGGGACAGCATGTGTGTTTGATGGACACGCGCGTATACATGGCATGGTTCTTATAAGTCGGTTGTTAAGTTTGAGTGACACATCGGAAAAGTATATTGTATTAGTATTATAGTGATAATCCATAGTGCAGCTGATTTGATAGTGTATATCAATTAATATTTTTTTATAAATTGTGTGATGTGATTTTCTTTCATTAACTAAAACTTGGGCCTATCAATGAATCCAAAAATGATCACTGTGGAATGTATACAAGTTTTATTTGAAATATAAATAAAAAAAATTTGAACTTTGAGCATTCTTACACGATTATTTCTACCGTGAATTGTATTGAGCCTTTAATTTCAAACATTAACAACGACGACGACAACAATAACTGCAGCAACAGCAACAGTAATACTTATACTAACATTATTATTATTATTATTATTATTATTATTATTATTATTATTATTATAATTATTAGCAATAATAATAATAATAATGATAATAATAATAATAATATTATCATTATTATTATTATTATTATTATTATTATCGTAACTGAAATATTTAACACGAATATAGTTCACAAAATGTTATGTGTTTAATGCAAATATTTGCTATAAATAATATGTTTGTACAAGTCAAGGTGTCATCCTTGTGATCTATGTAGATCACATATTATATTAACAATTATATGTATATATATATAGAATTGTTACTATAATATGTGATATATATATATAATATTATATTAACAATTATATATAGGCCTATATATAATATGTATATATATATTATACAGGACTCCATTCGTTGAGAGCTATGCTACACGATGTATTAGGCCTATTATGTCCTTTATTCGAACACTGTGTTTACCTTTCTTTGATAATTTATATATATATATATATATATATATATATATATATATATATATATAGA